TCTCTAGCCAGTCTCTTCTGTTTTCTTCCTTGCTCAGTCCTTCATCTTTCCCCTGCCCATCCCAAGGCATATCCCTGCATATCCCAGCCTGTGGTTGGGATAACTGGCTTCCTTTCACAAATTCTTGTGCAAGTGGACTCCTTGTATAGTTTGTTCTTCTACAGAAACAAATCTGCTCCTTCTTTGCTGAAGTTCATTTTGTGTATTAAAGGAAAAGAATCAATTAAAACCCACTTAAATTAAAAATAGATGGAGATACCTGTGTTTGGAGCTTAGTTCCCTTAGTGAGCTCTAAAAAAAAATGTAGTAGTGGTGCTCTCTGACCTTTGTCTCACAGATCTGGATTTTGATGTCTCCAGTTTTATTTCTGAAGAATTAGACGTTTGCTGCAAGACAGGTTACATCTGTCAAACTATCAGACTAAAAGAGCAGTAGTTTATTTTAGTTTCCACAGTTTAGTTTTACTTACACATGCAGATGAGCAGAATTGGTAAACTGAGGGATTTATTTTTTTACATAGCCTGTACCTGTTGCACGCAAACTTTCTGCCCGTGAGCAGCGAGATTGTGAAGTGATTGAACGACTTATCAAATCCTACTTCCTTATTGTCAGGAAGAACATTCAGGACAGGTAAGACAGAACTTTCTAGAAATATTTAAGCTATACAAATATTGTGGTATCTCAAGAGTCATATATATAATCTTGCTATTGTTATCATGTTCTTATGTTATTAACAACAGAGAAAATATTTTTCAGAAGGGACAGCAGCAGTAAAACTTGAGCCTTCATAGAATTAAAAAGTTTGAAGAAGCACTTGTTTTCCCTAATGGTTTCAGTTCTGTATAATATTAAGTAAAAGGTTTAATTATTTAGGATATGCCTGCTTTTCTGGAGGATGCTTCAATTCAGATGGGTGATTTGCAGCAAATTATTGCAATAAACTCTGGGTGCTGTCTAGCCCTGACAGAACTTAGCTTTGCCATCTTGTTATTTCAAAAGGCAAGGTCAGATAGGAACTACTGTGGCTGAGCTTTCCAGTACTTGGCTATAAGAATGGAAATAGCATAAAGAGTTGTTTCTGCTGTGTTTTGCTTAAAAACTGTACTTTCTTTTAACAAAAAATGATGTAAAATTTGCTTTGCTTATGTCTTTGAGGATAGACCTAGCTTTATATCTATTTAGATTTTTAGGTATATGGGATATTGTGGGGGAATACAGGAATCTGGAAACCAGAGTTTAGAGCAGATTAGGGAGGTCATGGAAGTTTTAGTCTACCCAATAAATTAGTATCCTCAATATGACTTTAAGTATTTGATGACAGGGAAGTGCTATGTTTACCTTAATGTTTCTGCAGTGTTAGTACTGTGTTAGTACCTTCTTCAATCTGGAGCAGACCTGGTTTTAAATAAAGAAACAATCTTTATGTGCTTGCAGTGTGCCAAAGGCAGTGATGCATTTTCTAGTGAACCACGTGAAGGACACTCTTCAGAGTGAGCTGGTAGGCCAGCTGTATAAATCCTTGTTGTTGGATGACCTTCTGACGGAATCAGAGGACATGGCACAGCGCAGAAAAGAGGCAGCTGATATGCTAAAGGTAGGAAAAAGATCAGGAGTTCATGGCAGTAGTTCACCATATAAATGTGAGATTTTTGGAAGACTTTTGCCTTCCTTTTTTACTTTGCTGCTTTTTTAAGAATAAGCCAGTGTATTAAAAACAGTATGTGACCAGAAAGTATTATGCAGATTGAGTACTTGGGGAGGAATAATTTAAACTATATTTTGAGCATAAAGCAGAAGATCTAATCTGGTGTTATCTTCCATTATACATTTGGTTTTAATAATGTGCTTTTATTTAATTTTGTGGTGTTCAGCAGTGCTCTTTTGGGGGATTAAGCTTACAGTGTTGGAAGTGCCATTCATGTATGTCATGCAGAGCCTAAAAGGTGGCTCTGTCTGTGGTGTCTCTACAGTGCCCCAGAATGTGAACAGTGGGAATGTTTGCACTCACCTATGGTGACTCTGTGTACATCTGTTTGACAGCCTTGGTGATGTGTCCATGTTAGCAAAGTCTTAATTTCTGCATCGTTCAGTTAGTTACATGGCCACATCACCTGCATCAGAAATCCACTGCTTTGCCTTCAGCTGCATAGAAAAGGGTCCCTCTGCCAGGTCAGCTCACTGAAGAAGTACCAGGAGGTGCTTCTCCTTCATATGCAATGTGGTCAGACATACTCTGCTTGTACACACTCATAGTTCAAAATACTACAAATTTGAGTAATACTATAAATAATGTCAGTATTAGTTGGTATTATGAGTTTTTAAATCTGTGGTTTAGCAGGCTCCACTACAATGAATGCTACAGAATGTTAAAGTCATAAAAAGTAGGTGCAGATTCTCTTTTATTTTGAAGAGGGTTTAAAACATCAAAAATTGTGTGTGGTGAAAAGGCTTGCCCTTTTGAAAATTTAACAGGTTGCCACTCATTTAATAATGAAATTGATAAACTTAAAATAAGTTTTTAACTTTATGCTTCCTAAACTGCCGCTGTTACCTCCCTGAGAAACCTCTACAGAAAAAGTAACCAGCTCTGGCTTCTGTGTGTTTGTTTGTGCAGGCCCTGCAGCGAGCCAGCCAGATCATTGCAGAGATTCGGGAGACACACCTTTGGTGAAGAAAGACTGTATCAGCCACACTATTTATATGCATTGGAGGTTACATTGGCTTGAAAATTGCTAGGCATGGTATACGGAGTAGAATTTTTATTTATGAACTCTTCTTATCTGTGTACTGCAACTGTGTAAATCTGCTCATGTAAAGACAGTTGGTTTGATTTGCAAACAGGAAAATATGCTGTATTTTGCAAAAGAAGTCGTATTTACTCCACATAATAAATGGCTCTAAATGTTTCCTTACCAGCTTTCTGGTGCAAATTAAAGCAGACCAAGTCTTCTGTCTCAGTGACAGTCTCATTTGAACTTGGGGAAAAAAAAACGTTCAAGTTCCAGTGCCTGACTTGCTAAACAGGTTGCCTGTGGTTAAGATGGCCGGTGTAGTCTTGTGGCATAGTTTTAAGCTGCTTTTACAATAGAAGTTTAAATACTGTGAAGAGAAGAAAGCACCGAGTATTTCCTTTCATGAATATATTGCATGCACTGTGACAGATGGAGCTATCAATTTTATAGCACAGTAGACATGTCGACTGTATTACTATGTATGTGTGTCCACATTAATTTTTTTTCCCCAAAAAAATGTTTAAACTGCAGACAAAACGTTGAACTTGATTTAATGGAGTATCATGTAGGAAGAATTAGCCTGGAGCTTGCGAACAATAATAGCAGCCTGCTCAGAAGTGGGTGCAAAGGTTTTCATGTGCACTGGAGCTTGTGTATGAATGTTGGGGATTACAATCAGGTACAAGGACATCTTCCCCTTCCTCCCCTCTGGGACCAAGCCCCTGGACCATCTGATAGTGAATTTGTTCTGGCAGAACTGAAAAATAAAAATGGATTTCAAAACTGTAATGGGATAATAAGTGTTTCTTTTAAAAACAGATTAAGTTGGCCAGGGAGAAGGGGATCCCCACAACTTCTTTGAATTTTGGAATGTATGACAGTATGAAAGAAAGCCTGTGGAATTGGAATATTTATACCAGAGATTAGAGTTGCTTTTGAGGAAATTTTATTGTGCTGTAAGTAGCTTTTTTTTTTTTTTTTGGAGGACAATCGTAAAATTATGAAATTTTAAGTTGGAAATTAAGTTGATTTTTTTCTTCTGATTATAATTCATACAGATAACTATTGATCACACTAGCCTTTCTAAAGTAAACATTTTAATTTTTATGAATAAAAATTTATTTAAACTCCAGCCAGCACACTTGCATGTACTTTTCAAGCAGATTCACTCTTTTTGTATAAAGTGAAAATGTTTACTATAGTGTTGCTGATATTTTATCTTTAACACAACTTGCATGAAAAATAGGACACTGCCCTTAACCTCCATGGCTTCCCTTTGTGGTATTGGGCCAGTATAATGAGGTTTTTATTACCATATGCAGTTCCCTCTGCCTTTAATCAGTTAGAAATGGAATTCCTTTTGTAAGCTGCTAAAGATTGAAAATTTAAAAATTCAGTTTACAAGAAACTGTTTAAAAATACATTTTTCTCATGGTAATCTTCAGTTTGGCACCAATACAAGCACAAGGAGTTACGTCTGGCAGGTGCAACTTTTGGATACTTTATGTGTGATCTGAGATAATTCATGCAGAACACAGAAATCTATAATGTATTTTTAAACAGCCTAAAAAGTCATGGTGTATGTATTACATGTAATGAATACAAAGGAAGTAATTTTAACTTCTTGCATTGTGTCCAGGGATGGTAGTTCTCAGATTTAAGAAACGTGACTGAAGTGCAAACCACTTTTGTAATCAGCTTTGGTGATCAGTGCAAAGTCTGAATAGTTTTGTCAGAAGCATTACATTTCTGTTTGGAATTCACCTGACACCTCTATTACCTTTTACTTTCAACATATAAGAAGTATATTTTCAACAAGGTAGTGCCGTCCATAAGTGAACTGCTACCTAAGCTTTAACTCCCAAAGTTCAGTCAACAGTCTCTTGTGAAGAAACAATCTGACTTGTAAATTTTTGAAATGCTGTACAAAGCAAATGAATTTATTGAAGAAATTCCTGCAAGTGATAACCTGGCTCTGTAACGTCATGTAAAATTTCCACAGTGTAAATTTGGTTTCTGAAATGTTACAACTTTTTTTGGTTTAAGTTTCACAAAAAGTTTTGATTTGGTAATGTTTTGAGTGCCAAGGAATGAACTTTATTTGTAATCCTTAATGCAAGTCTTTGAAAGTCCATGCTGTAACTATCCTGTTATTTAATAAACAGATAATACACAAAATGAATTATCCCAGAAATAGTTTTGAACTGAGTTATAGTTCAAGTGACAGGACTTAGTTAATAGTGTAACTGCCTGTATTTGTACAGTCATACTTAAATTTGCACTTGCTCTTGTTCAAGTCAACATTCTTACTTCTTGTATAGTTGCATAACTAATAGTGTAGACAGGCTGCTGCTGGCTGCTGATAGGTTTGAAATAAGCTGTTTTCTGGAACTGAACTAAAATACTTTAAATGCCACTGTTACTGCCAGCATTAAAAGAAATAATAGTAAACTAGGAAAAAAAAGACTAATGAGGTCAGCAACGAGAAACTCTCAGACTAGAATGATGGTCTGCAACTGCCTTCTAGCCACCTTATTTAATTTAAGGTTGAAATAATTTTGTCATTCATGCACAAATTTTAGCTAACTTAAAATAACTTGCTCTCCAGTGGGGAGAGAATCATGGGGGAAAACCACTGTAGCCAAGGTCAGATTAGTAAATCTCTCAAAAGTACCTAAGTTATGTGTGGTAATCCTGTAACTAAAACAGTCTACCAATGTGAACAGTTAGTCAGTGTTTAGTAGTCAGGTTCAAATTTCACTCAGTGGAATAGATGGGCAAGAAGGGGGGGTCTTTGTGCTTCAAACCTCATTCTGAAGTAAACAGAGCACACCTTGTGTAAAACCTGCCTTCACTCGATGCTTTATGGACTACAGCAGGGCAAACAGCCTGCCAGTCTGTTGATGCCCCTGCCCTGTTGGTAACTTGAATGGAATTCTCTTGAGTAATTTTTTTCCTGCAGTTTTCTCCTTCAGCTGTGAGGGTGATGGGTAGCTGGTGTTTTCAGTGGTTGCTGAAGATCTCCACTGTGGGTGCTCTTTATTGCAAGCCAATCTGTGCTTTGAGGTGAGAGACAGATGATTGATTCTTCAAAGTGTAAAACCATTGAATATGGTTTTGTGCTTAGTGGCACTGAAGGTGCTGCTTTCATGCTGTGATAGCTTCCTTTGAGTTTACCTCTTGCACTTTCAAATCACACCTTGGTAGTCATGTTAAATGCTTTAACATTAGGTACTGCCTAATTCACATTTGAACAAGTTGTGTTTCTCATTACCTGAGGGTACCTCTTTGGGGGTATAGGATAAATAAGACGAGGCTAAGGAAGGATACTTGATTCTTCTGGTCATCCTTGGTCCTTGACCCAAGTGTTTAAATGCTCAGTTGTGATAACCTTGTACAGTCATGGCAAGTAGGGATTGTATCCAGCTGTTTCTTTGAAAAGAGTCAGGGAAGGGCTTGGTTTGCTAGGAATTGGTCCAAAGGAAGCACAGACTAAATTTCTTAAGAATTTATGGATGTTACCAAAAACCTTGTCTGCAAAGAAGTGACTTCTCTTTTTTTATTTTGTATGTGTAAAAACAAATAAAATCCTTTTACTAACTTATTAAAAGTGGGTATATGTATGCACCTGCACCATTTGGTAATTAGGGAAAAAAGGCAGGAAAGAGATCAGACATGGGATTTTATTTCCTGCAATTAGAAAGAAATTGTCAAATCTGCTCTGTTGTTTTTCTCTGGAGGCAAACATGGCTGGGTACTGGTGTAGTTTGTTCCCAGGTGCATGATTCTGATTTGCACTAATGCTTCTGTTGTTTAAGAAACAAGGCAGGTATATTAGGTGGATGCACTTAGCCTTCCCCTCTCTCCTCACATATTTTCTCTTAAGGCAAAGTTAACAAGCAACAGAAAGTGGTCTGGGAGCAAAGACAATGTATAGAGTGCTTTTTTAAAGGTAGAAATGACTGAAGTACTTTTTATTTTTCTTTATGGACCAGAGATTAGGACAGAGATGTCTCATTAAAATTTATAATTTCCCCATTCCTCTCACAGGCTAGGTGGTTTTAAACCAGCTGAACTACCCTGACTTATTCTGACAACAGAAGAGATGGTGCTGAGTTACCACAACCAGGAAGCTCAGATTAAGATCTTGTGCTATAATATATTATATTGCAACTGACTGTAGAGCCCACAGAACTAGTGCCAGGATTTACCTTTGATAAAGATGGCAGATAGCAGGGAATTCAAGAATCCAGTGAATTCAGAGGACCAAGAAGTGGAACGAGTGTCACTCACCTGGTAAGTCATACTATACACACAGAAGGCTTAAAAGGGATTCATGAGGTTGATTTAAGCTTTGAGAAGCTCTATACTTCCGTATTTCAAAAAGTGGTTTTGCTGTGTATTTCCACATGAAGGCTGGAAAGCTTTGGTGCAGTGTGCCCCCATACATAAACAAGAAGCTCATTAGTGCTTAATCATTCTTTTCCTTTATTGTGAATTTCCTGCAGCTTCCTTCAAAGCAAACTTGTTCTGAACAAACATGTTGACTGCAGGTTGGTTGTCCTTGCCCACTGGCACAGGTTTCTGTTAGGTGAGCACACATTGGCTCTAAGAAGTCCTGGGTTTGAGGATGATTTTGCTCATCTTGCTGTGGGTTCTTCTGTGGAGCAACCGGCCACTGTTCTCCTCCAACACGTGGTTGTTAAAGGAGGGGCAGCACATCTGCATTTGAAATGAATCTTTTCCTTGTCTTCTTGTGCAGCTCCTCTTAGGACTGGTACTTTGAATAAGGCAGAGTATCTAAACCCTCTTCCCTGGTATACCTCAGCTGCTTTATTTGAACTCTGTTGGTGCATTTTGGAAAACGATGGTATTGGGCAGTTTGTGAACTGCTAAAGTAACGCACAGGACAGAAACATCTTCAAGTACGTCTTCAAGCAACAGAGTTAAAATGACCTGTTGTTTTAGGGAAGTGTTCGGTTGTCACAACTGCAGCCATTTTATAATGTAGTAATTTTTCTTTCCAACCCTAAGTAATGACACTCCATTCTTGAGAATGTGCTGTCCGAGAATAAGAACAGCCTCAGGATTAGTTACACGATTCCCATTTATTGAAACTCCTCCATCTGTAATTTTCTGGTACCTTAAAAAAAAAAAAAAAAGTTACTTGCAAAAGGAAGCTACTTATTGCTATTAAGTACTGAAAGTTCACTTAAGGGGTTTTTTTTACTGGATCCATAACTGAGTAAATTTTAATTCCCTTGCACTTCATTTTCAGTCCAGGTCAAGAGTGATTGAACCTAACCTTAGCCTCTACTACTCCAATTCTGTCTGAGAGGTGTAGGAAAACCTAGGCTGTTGCTTTAGGCTGTCCCTTGATCAGATGTGGATTTTACAGTTGAGGTACATAAGGCTGTGTTAACATAGGCTTCAAAATGGAATGAGGTTGTGTGCTGCCCTCTTCTTTAATACTCCTACATAGATCACAGCCTGTTTCTGCTTGATTTGGCTGTCCTGATCATTTAACTTTCGACCCCACACTGCTACAAATGTTTAAGCGAGTAGAGCACCAGGTGAGAACTTACCCACTAGGTCCATCTGGAATGGCATTTGCTTTGCGACACAAGTCAAGAACAGTCATTCCAGGTTCAAGCATCAATTCAGCAGAAGCAGCTTGTCTAAAAAGTTCCTGTAACTCTAGGTCAGACATCTCTTCCAGTGCCTCCACACTGCTGTAATAAAGGGCCTTAGTGCACCTGTGAGAACAAAGATCATTCAAAATACAGAGCCAGTCTCGTTTTCACACCAAGTGCTACTCATATAAGCACATTCCTCTCCCCAATTTCTCCCGAGAGTCTACAGACTAACAGAATTTCTTAAAATACACCCCCATTTTTTTTTAATTGTACCCCACTGCCCTGCAGATTTCTTTTTGCATTCTTAATGTAAGTCTACAGAATTATTACATTTTTCTCTTTTAACATCCAAGCAACAACCATTTAAATAGTCCCTGAAAAGCTGTGAATCATTACCATTTAAAAAATCTGAAACAAAACAGTTCGACAAATGAAACTTCACCTCTTGGCAGATTCTAGCCCTTCTCTGCCATGGACAAGCTTGGTTACTTCTGCAGCCAGTCGTTTCTGAGGGCCCCATTTTTCAGGTTCTTTAGCATGCATTTCCATGATGTGGGCAATCTCCTCAAGAGGTAGGAAGGTAAACAGTTTCAGGTATCTAAGAGCAGAGAAAAAATATTTTGTTTGTACTGCCATCATTACAGGTTTCCTGCCTTTGTCATTCAAACTTCATTAACTAACTAAAATGATTCTTTATCCATTTAAGAAATCCTTATTACAGATATTTATTTAACGCTTAATTGTGCAAGTTATGGTACATGGATAGAAATAAATGGTATGTTTGTCCAGAGGTGGGCAAAGTTATGGCTACTACTAGCTTTGAAGAGGTTTATGGAACTAGTAATTTAACCAGGTATATGAATTTTGTTCATGCTGGTGTTTTTTTCTGCTTTAGTTTTTCCTTTAACTGCTTTCAACAGTGACTTAAAACTGGTGCCTGAAAAGCTCTACTTTGTGAATTCCTTGTATACTCTCTGCCAAGAGCTTAAAATGGTATAGCCTTATCCCCTTTTTACTTGCACTACTGCCACCATGTCACTGCCTCCTATGCATGTTTTCATCTAGACCAGTGGTCTCCCAAGTGGGGTGCCAGCAGCCCAGGAGGTAGGCAAGACCACTGAGGTACAGGAAGAAAGTATTAAAAGTTCAGTAGTACTACACTTCTATGAAAAAATAAATATACATGTACTGGGTATGAATCCTTAAATTTGCTTTCACTGATAAGACTCTGTGATCAAAAAAGTTTGGAGATCACTGATCTAGAGCTAATACAGTCATAAATATGAACTTCTTGGCTTTTTCTTAACAAGGCAATATTCAAGTATGTTTAAGGATATGCAGATTTTAATGTCATGCAGTTGCAGTTCTAAAAGCTGAACTCTTGTGTGTTTATAACTAATTAAACAGCTTGTTGCAATTAGAATGTGGTCCTTCTGGATACCTCATATGAAGTCAAAATTTGTAGTAATTAATATATATTTCAGTGCAGTTACTTATTAATCAGCAGGAGAGACTTCCTTGATACTGAGATGCTCAGTACTGAAACCAACACACCTTGTAAGACAGAGTCACCTCACTGGCAAACAAAATGCACTATGCTTCTCTTGTTTGCTCATCCACCTGCTAATTTCTTATGCATATGATAGGTTTCACTATCCTATATACTTAGGAACCAGTTATGCTTGTTTATTTAATGAATGTACATTTATAATTAGCATATACTTCTACATGGAGCTTGTGTTGCACATATCCAAATGAAACCGTTACAGAGAACAGTTAGGATTGGGTTTTATAAACAATGTTAAAAAGCAAGATGAACAACTTACTTTTCAACTACATTATCTTGTTGTCTGACAAAAAACTGATACAGCTCAAAGGGAGAAGTCTTATCTCTGTTTAGCCAAACTGCGTTTCCAGCAGTCTTTCCCAGTTTATCTCCAGTAGTACTGGTAATAAGAGGTACAGTAATTCCAAACACATCTGTTCCTGTCATCCTGAGAAAGAAAAGATTCACTACATGTTAAAAAAAAAAAAATCTTGGTAAAATTGACTAAAATACAAACATTCTGCAAGATCCTATCTTTAATATAAAGCAGTTAAATAAGACATGGAGTGAGGAACAAAATATGGCTAAAGAGATGTTCTGAAAAGAGTGCTTTAGGAAAAAACCCACAAGTTTTTAAGTTCTTTTGTGTGTATCAAAGAAGTTGACATACTTGAAGTAGTTTCATGAACAACAGCATTAGCAAATTCATTATGCTGGACGTCTTGTCTTCTGCCCTCAGTACTAATTGAAGCTGCTTGTGTGGGGCTGGGACACTTGAAAGGCTTTTCCTCTGTGCCCATTCTCTGTCTTCTAATAATCAAGCATATACTGAAGTGGAAGCATTACCACATCCTCAATGATGTGAGGATACTCCTGCGAACTTTCTAAGACTCGCACTGAATTTGGTGGATAAGCAAAAAGCACATCATTGTCACGTCTCATTTTATTTCTGAGAAGGAATGGAGCAATCTTGACCAATATACTACAACTGCCTCTACTGCAGTGTGATCACACCATGCTAGCACAGGACTTGTCCTGATTTTGTCCCATGCTTCAGGGTATTTGATTTTGGTTCTTGGATCCACTAATAAAAAAATCCATCCTTCTTGTTACGAATTCATTAACAATTCACAGAAGATGCTTAAACCCTGGCCAAAATGTCCATATGTGCCAGGCTTATGGTCAGGCCAATTAATTATTCCTCTCAAATCATGGTTTTGTCTAAGGCCAAGTCTCTTGAGGGTTGACTTCTGCTCCTGGTGCTTCAGGGACTGTCAACACCAAGTCGCACAGCATTTGGTCAGAGAATCAGCTGGGTTGGAAGAGACCTCTGAGATCATCAAGTCCAACCTATGACCACGTCGTCTATTAGATTATGGCACTCAGTGCCACGTCCACTCCTTCCTCAGACAGCGTCAAGGATGGTGACTCCACCATCTCCCTGGGCAGCCCATTCCAATGCCTGATCACCCCATCTGTGAAGAACTTCTTCCTTATGTCCAACCTACACCTGCCCTGGTGCAGCTTGAGTCTATGACCCCTTGTCCTACCACTTGTTACCTGGGAGAAGCGGTCGATCCCCATTTGGCTACACCCTCCTTTCAGGCAGTTGTAGAGAGCGACAAGGTCATCCCTGAGCCTCCTTTCTTCAGGCTAAACAGACCCAGCTCCCTCAGCCGCTCTTCACAGGACCTGCACTCCAGACCTTTCACCAGCTCAATCGCCCCTTTCTGTACCCGCTCCAGCACCTGCACATCCTTCCAGACCCGAGTGGCCCAGAACTGGACAAAGCACTAGAGGTGCGGCCTCACCAGAGCTGAGTACAGGGAGAATCTCTTCCCTAGTCCTGCTGGCCACACTATTCCCGTACAGGTCTCCCGATGCCCAGGCCCCGCGCACCGCCCCCGGCCCCGCCGTACTTGGTGACGAGCTCGTAGCCGGACATGATGTTTCCCATCTGGTCGTGGCCCCCCAGCTGGATGCGGCAGCCGTGGTGCCGGTGCAGGTGCAGGAAGTCGTACGCCTGGAGCGCGGGGTACAGGAATTCCGCCAGGCTCATCCCGTCGGGGCTGCGGAGGCGCGCCTGGCAGCTCTGCCGGCTCAGCAGCGTGCCCATGCGGAGCCGCCCGCCGGCCCCGCCCAGGAACCGCAGCAGCGGCTCCCGGCCGAGCCAGCGGGCGTTGTCCAGCAGCTCGGCCCGGCCCAGCTGCCCGGCCCTCGGGTCCCAGAACAGCTCCCGGTGGTTCTGGAAGAGCCGCTCCAGCCCCGCGCGCAGGGCCCTGGCGTGCGCGCGCACCGTGCCGGCCGGCAGCGGCTCCCGCGCGCGCTCCCGCCCGCTGGGGTCCCCGAGCCGCGCCGTGGCCCCGCCCACCACGGCGATGACGTTGTGGCCCGCGCGCTGGAGGTGCAGCAGCGCCATGAGGGGCAGCAGGTGCCCCACGTGCAGCGAGTCCGCCGTGGGGTCGAACCCGCAGTAGGCGCACAGGGCCGGCCGGCCCGGCGCCAGCAGCTCCGGCAGCCGCTCCTCCGCGCTCTGCGCCGGGAACACCTCCTGGAACAGCCCGCGCTCCCACTGCGCCGCCAGCAGCCCGCCCGCGCCCCGCGCCCGCCGCGCCCGCTCGTGGGCCCGGCGGCGGGGCGGCAGCGGGGCCCGGCGGAGGCGGCCCCACAGCCCCGCCAGCCGCCCGCACAGCGCCGCGGCCGCCATCCCGCGCGGGGCACGCCGGGAACGGCCGGGGAGGGGCTCCCTCAGGCGCCGGCCCCGCCCCGCCCGGGGAGCAGGGGGATAACCGGGATGGGGCAACCGGGGCAAGATAGGCGGGATGGGACAGCCGGGGTGGGATAACCGGTGCAGGATACGCGGTATGGGACAATCGGGGTGGGATAACAAGGCAGGATAAGCAGAATGGGACAACCGGGGTAGGGTAACCGGGGCAGGATAACCGGGATGGGGCAACCGGGGTGGGATAACCGGCATGGGACAACCGGCATGGGATAACCGGGGCAGGATAAGCGGCATGGGACAACCGAGGTGGGACAACCGGGGCAGGATGAGCAGGATGGGACAGTCGGAGTGAGAACGGCGATGACCCGGTGCGGCGCAGCCTGGAGGGAGCCTTGGATGGTCGGGAATGGCTTGAGTGCACGGCTGGTGGTTCTCCTTCACGGTATTAAAGAAAATTCGCACAGACACACCGTGTGTTGTTGGCTTCTCCTCTGCCTTCTTTTTTTTTCCTTTCCTTCTTTCCCCAACCCGAAACACTGGGATTTCCAATGCTTTCAGGCTGAAACACGTGCGTGGGAAATGAGGCACTCAGCTGGTAGTAGGGCACCGGGCAGGATGGGTAGCAGATGCCTAAATTAGTGACACTGGGGCTTTAGAGCTTACAGGCTCTAGAGTTTATAAGCTCCATTACCAAAATTTATTAGCTGTGTTACATAGCTTGAGTATTTGGGAAGAGGACACTTAAACTATATAGGTGTGCAGCTATAGGCACGTGGGTGATAAAAGGAAGATTAGGGGAAACGTGGTCCCTCTCAGAAGGGAAACGGGACACCTGGTTACCTGGGATATGGAGAAGGCTGAGGTATTCCACAATTTTTTTGCCTCAGTCTTCACTAGCAAGTGACACCTCCAGAGTTGCAGAAGGAAAGGTAAGGACGAAGAGAATGTAGAACCACTTGCTGTAGGGGAAGATTAGATTTGAAATTGTCTAAGGAATCTGAAGGTACACAAGTCCATGGGACTTGATGAGATGCATCCATGGAACCTGAGGGGTCAGGCAGATGAAGTGTCTAAGCTGCTATTCATTATGAGAAGCTATGGTAGTCTGGTGAAGTTCCCATTGACTGGAAAAGGGGAAATATAAAAAAAATATTAAAAAGGAAGTCCTGGGGAACTACAGATCAGTCAGTGTCGTCTCTGTGCCCAGCAAGATCGTGGAGCAGATCCTCCTGGGTGCTATGCTAAGGCACACGAAAAGTGAATGGTGGCAGCCGGCATGGCTCCACTAAGGGCAAGTTGTGCCTGACAAATTTGGTGGCTTTCTACAACAAGGTTGCAAGGAAAGAGCAGCTGATGTCATTTATCTGGACTTGTGCAAAGCATTTGACACTGTCCCAAACAACACCCCTGTCTCTAAAATGTGAGAGACATGGATTTGGTGGATAAAGAACTGTCTGGTTAGTTACAGTCACAGAATTGCAGTCAACACCATCAGGTCCAAGTGGAGACCATATATACTGACTGTATAAAAGTTGCTCAAAATGAGGACATTGAGCTATTTTTGTTCCAAACTGAAAGTTCGGTCTTCAATTAATTTTTAGTTGTTGTCTTGCTAGAGAAATGATTTAATGACACCTATGCTAATTTTTTACTACTTTTACTTTGCAGTAATTTCCACTTGCATAATCTTTTTCAGGTGGAAGGCTTCAGAGTTGTTAATCAATGCTGTTGATGCACTGTGACAGATGGAAGTATCAGTTTTATAGCACAGTGGAGATGTCAACTGTATTACTATGTATGTGTGTCCACATACATTTCCCCAAAGCAGTTACACTTTTTTCCTTCCCCCTAGGGCCAAGCCCCTGGACCATCTGCTGTAAATTTGTTCTGGCAGAACTAAAAAATAAAAATGGTTTTCAAAACTGTAATGGGATAGTAAGTGTTTCTTTCAGAAAGGATGAAGTTGTGCAGGGAGAAGGGGTTCCACACAACTTCTTCAAATTTTGGAATGTATGAGAGTATGAACAAAAGTCTGTGAAACTGGAACAATTATACCAGAGATTAGAGTTCCTTTTGAGGACATTTTATTGTGTGCTGTAAGTAGCTTTCCTTCTTTCCACAATTTTAATTTGTTTGTTGAAATGTTAAGACTTTGTATGTTTACTTTTTCACAAAGAAATTCAATTTGGTAATGTTTGAGTGCCAGGAAATAAACACGGTTTATAATCATTAATGCAGAACTTTGAAGTCCATGATATCCATATTTGTACACCCTTACTTATGTTTGCAATTGCCTTCATTCTAGTTTTACATTCTTCTTCTTGAAGAGTTGCATAACTAGCAGTGTAGACAGGAGGCTCATGGCTGTTGATAGGTTTGAAAGAAGCTGTTTTCTGGAATTGAACTAAAATATTCTAAATGCCAGTTATTGCCAGCTATGGAAAAAAGCCTAATGAGATCAGCAGTTGAAAAATTAGTCTGATGTTTTACAATTGTCTTCAAGTCCACCCTGTTTAATACAAACTACAAATAATTGTGTCGTCAATGCACAAATTTTAGCTAACGTATAAATTAAGAGTGCTCGCTAGTGAAATACACAATCACGGAAAGGAAAAACCACTGCAGCCAAGTTCAGATTAGTAAATGTCTGACATAAGGACTTGAACTATGCGTGGTACTCCTGTAACTAAAACACAGTATCACTGTGTGAACAGAATTTGTCAGTGTTTAGTAGTCAGGTTCAAATTTCACTCAGTAGAATAGATGGGCAAGGGGCAGGGTCTGTGTGCTTCAAACCTCATTCTGAAGTAAGCAGAGTAGACCTTGTGTAAAACCTACCTTCACTCGATGCTTTGTGACGGACTGACTTTGACAGATGCCAGATTGCATATGGTAGATTCAGGTCCCTGCTTTATGGACTACAGCAGGGCAAACAGCCTGCCAGTCTGTTGTGCCCCTGCCCTGTTGGTAACTTGAATGGAATTCTCTTGAGTAGTTTTTTTTCCTGCAGTTTTCTCCTTCAGCTGTGAGGGTGATGGGTAGCTGGTGTTTTCAGTAGTTGCTGAAGATCTCCACTGTGGGAGGTTTTCATTGCAAGCCAAACTCTGTGCTTTGAAGTGAGAGCCAGATTGATTCTTCAAAGCATAAAACCATTGAATATGGTTTTGTTCTCAGTGACACTGTGTAAATTAGTGAATATGCTTTCATGCTGTGATAGCTTCCTTTGAGTTTACCTCCTGCAAGCCCTCTCACCCTTTGCCTCTTCATTGCTAGATGCCACAATAAGGTTTAATTCAAGTCCTCCAGGTTTTGCTGACCCCAAATGCTGTACAGATGCTTTTGGTTTGTGATTTTCTAAAATATCTGTCTTAAATAATTACTTTTCGTTTTGCATTTTCAAATCACACCTTTGTAACCATGTTAAATGCTTTAATATTAGGTAATACCTAATGTTTACATTTGAACAAGTTGTGTTTCTCATTACCTGAGGGTACCTGTTTGGGGGTATAGGATAAATAAGACCAGGCTAAGGAAGGATACTTGATTCTTCTGGTCATCCTTGGTCCTTGACCCAAGTGTTCAGATGCTCAGTTGTGATAACCTTGTACAGTCATGGCAAGTAGGGGTTGTATCGAGCTGTTTCTTTGAAAAGAGTCAGGGAAGGGCTTGGTTTGCTAGGAATTGGTCCAAAGGAAGCACAGACTAAATTTCTTAAGAATTTATGGGTGTTACCAAAAACCTTGTCTGCAAAGAAGTGACTTCCCTTTTTTTATTTTGTATGTGTAAAAACAAATAAAATCCTTTTACTAATTTATTAAAAGTGGGTATATGTGTGCACCTGCACCATTTGGTAATTAGGGAAAAAGGGCAGGAAAGAGATCAGACATGGGATTTTATTTCCTGCAATTAGAAAGAAATTGTCAAATCTGCTCTGTTGTATTTTCTCTGGAGGCAAAGATGTCTGGGTACTGGTGTAGTTTGTTCTCAAGTGTATGTTTTCAATTTGCTCTAATGCTTCTATCATTTAAGGAAGGAGGCAAGTATATTAGGTGGATGAACTTCACTTTTCCTTCTCTTCACCTTTTTTCTCCATGTGGTTCCTCTTAAGGTAAAGCAACAGAAACTGGTCCTGAGAGTGAAGGCAATGTATAGAGTGCTTTTTTTAAAGGTAGAAATGACTCAACTACTTTTTATTTTTTTGTGAAACAGAGATTAGGATAGAGGTGTCTCATTATCAAGTTGATCAAGGAAAAAGAAACATAAACAAAAAAACCCCACCTACAAAATATAACAAACTCCCCACCCAACTATAGAACAGCTGGATTCTTGAGACTTGTTGCAATTTACTACAATTTCCCCATTCCTCTCATAGACTGGGTGGTTTTAAACCAGCTGAACAACTATCACTTATGTTGATGACAAAAGAGATGGTGCTGAGTTACCACATTCAGAAAGCTTAGATTAAGGCCTCTCCCCTTGTGCTGTGACTGCAAATGTATTGTCTAGGAAATTTATGGACCAGGAAATGATTCTCTGTGGCTTTATGCTTGAAAGCAACCCTGCACTCAAAACCCAGAGCACTATATCAGACTGATCGGCCCTTACTGAAGAAGCTCTGAGCCAGCCAACTACATTACTGTGTTCTAAAAGTCGCTAACCAGTTGGACATAATCCAAATCTGGCCTTGCACTGCAACTCACCCACCTGTAGTGCCTAAGCAACCCAAACTCAAACCCCACCAGGGGAAGGGAATCCAGCAAGGCATTGTACTCCGTGCTTATTTGATTCCAGGTGTGTAAGGAGCTGTAGTGGCTAGGAAGAAAAAGGAGGGAAGGTGTGTTGGAGCAGTAAAGCAGTTCTACTTTTAAATGTAGACGTTGCAATTCTATCAGCTCTTAAAGTTCATTCTGTCTTTCATGCTGTCTTTGCAAGAAAATAAGGAAGCAATGATCCCGAATGCTGACTAAGCCATAAGCAGTAGGATCACTTTCTGCTCTCCCATTAAGAAGTGCAACTTTTGTATGTTGCATTGACTGAAGGGTCTTTTTTATATGCAAAAGCACTACAGCTTCCCTCATGTGTTTCCTGGTCCAGAGACCCTTGTGGTGCTGCTCACCCACAAGTCTTGGGCACCTAAAATTAAAAAAAAACGTTTCTTGTACATGCTCCAAATCTTGTGGTATAATATACTGTCTTGCAAGCGGCTGTAGAGCCCAACTAGGGCCAGGATATACCTTTGACAAAGATGGCAGATAGCAGGGATGCATCCAGGGAGTTCACAGGACCAAGAAGTG